GGGTGCGAGCCAACAGAATATCAAGTGTAAAGGGGGTGTCACTTAAAATGATCACCAGTAGGTCATTTATGGTAATGCAAAATTTCTGTCAGAATGCCTAAAAATAACATTTATGAGGTTCTGAAATTTCAATTTTTCTGTTGGAAGCCTCCCCTCGGACCCCCTACTTTGTAATGTACGAAACAGCATCAACTCAGGCCAGCCCCACCAGTTATTTGGTTGCAGATACAGTGGAGCCCCTAATTAACAACCACATCCTATTGATGAACAGTCAGTGCAATGCAATATAATTATTAACTGTTATTTTCACTTAAAACTGCAATGTTACCTGATACAGTTAATATTAATTTTTGCTTATCATTTTAGAATTACAAGGGAGGGGAGGAAGGCAAAATTTCCTGATAAAGAGGTGGGGTTATTCTATATATTACAGGGAGACTCTCTCAAATCCTACCAGGTCACCACCTCTCCCCTCCTCCCCACCTAATAAAGAGCAGTCCATAAGGTGGCCCCATAGGGTACCGGTAATCATTTATGGCATTGCACACATAAGTGATGTTTTGAATGCTGTTTTTGCATTCATTTTTACACCCACTCCTCTCAAACTTATTACATGTAATAAGCAATGATTAAAATAATAGTGATTTACTATCATCTCTGTTAAAATTTTGGGTTTTAATCTTGAATTATAAATGCCCAAACAAATGTGTTTTTTTCCTTTTTTAAGGCTTTATTGGTGATTTTCTTGAATTTCCTTCGGTGAAATCTTCCAAAATGTTCACAGCACAGCGCATCCTACATGATACAAATTTTAAACACAAAAAAAGTAGGGTTTGTAAAAGTCTGTTTTTTCAATTTTTGCATTTTTTTTTCACTGCTGCGAAAAAACTGGTCGTATAGATTTCCCTGAAAAATGAGCTCCGACTAAAGTAAAATATCTACTACCAGTCTGCTAAATTTTACAGAATTTCAATGAAGGAAACACGAGAAAATTCACTTTAAGTTTTGGTTTTTTTTTGTGCTCATATTGACATAAAATATCAAAATACACTGTCATTTTCCTTTGAGCATGTGCAGATTGCTTGAGCTTTCATCCTCAGTGTGTGTGCGATCGTAAAACTACTACAGAGCCACCTTAAGTTAGATAAAACAGGTGCATGTGCATTCTCTGTAACAACCTTGGTATGGAGACATGTCACACTCAACACTCCATCCTGTGATCTGCCATCAATTTGTGTTGCATATTTACTCATGAGTGGATGCAAGTTGCCAAAATGATTTATTTCAATGCATTTCCACAGCCTGGGTTGTGACTGCTACTTCAACTTCTCATATGTTTAGTGGAAAAATTGGATCAAGCAGAGGTTTCAATAAGGGCCGGGCACCAGGCAAATTGACAGGCTGTGGGGATGATTTTGCCCCGATGGTTTCACCATCTGGAGGAAAGTTTCTCTTATAAAGAAGTTCCTTTTAAGAAGTTTTTCCCACCTGTTAGAACCAGTTGCCCTTCTGCTGGAAACATTAGTGAAACCCCTAATCACCATAAAAGTGAACCCAAGTCGCTAGAATCATTGGAAGTGAATGCAAATGGTAGCCAAACAGAGTCACGAGCTAGTAGACGGAACTAACTTGAATCAAATTAGTTACTTCTAAAAGATTACATACTGTGTTTCTACTGGCGCTATGAGAGGAAATGATGAAGAAATGATTACATGTACGTGCAATTAAGAAGGCAAGAAATTATTTTATTGAAAGCAAACCCATACAACAACAAATAAGCCCACATGAATGTTTACGAAACCCCAGCATTTACAAGTGACATGGTAAATCTTGACATCACAAGCACACTGCCACTGCTATGATTAAACCAAGCGTTTAAGAATCAATCGATGTTTGGCCTGGTGTTCTCCAACTTGCTGTAGTCAGTGTGACTGTAGAACTGTAAAGCAAGTGAAACAAACCCAGTTAACAAAGAGAAAATATTATTGTAAAGTGCGTCTAATGGGATAATTATTTGTTGTTAAACAACAATGCAACAAGGCTAAGTTGTTTTAATTCTGGCGAAAGAAAGTTGTTAACTGCTATATTGTTCATTAAATCAAGTGAAATTAAAAGCTGCTGCATACTTCTTTCATGTAGTGCTACATTCAATGTTGTTATGTGACTATTCACATAAAGCTACAAAATAATGCTCATGCATTGATATCTATTCTTATGGGTACTATTGTATTGTCCCATAAAATAACCTTGCCCCTCCCATGGAAGGTTTTATAGTTTGAAGCCCCCACTCCTCTAGAAAATTCCAGTTATGATTTATACTTTCCTTCAAAAGGTTTGGCTTTTGAAACCCTTTTCCCCCTTTGAATTTCTGTTAAAACCTTCCTTGGGGTGGGTAAGGATATTTTCTGGAACTGCACATATTTTTCAGCAGTAATCTGTAAAATGAGACTTGAGTTTTTTCACAAGTCACAATCACAGTGTTGAACTCTTTGGAGTAAACAGGTTAAAATCAAGCAGCAGTTAAATCTTATCACATTTTTGTATTATTATTAATAAGGATTAATAAAATTAATTCAAATTTCCCAAAACTTCCCATTGGCTTTTAGGTTGGGCCATTCTTTTCTTCTAAATACAAAATATTAAAGAACAAAACAACAAACAGACTGGATTTATGTCATTCTTTGGCATATTCAGTTTATTCTGCTCCCAATAACAGATTGTGTAAATGGTAGCCTGCAAAGTTTCTTTAGGACAGATAAATAGGAAATTTTGGAAGGTAGCTTTAAGTCAACTTATTTCTAAAATTCCCTTTCAATAAGTCAATTCCTGCTAGAAATATAAGCCATGCATGTTCTTTTTTTTTTTTCTATCATGAATATTTAAACCAACCTTCAGGCGCTCATTGTGCTTGATCTTTTGCCAGGGGTATGGGTTGTTCTTCCTGTCCCAGCTATCAAAACAACATAAGCTAACTATTAAAAGCAGTGCATTGAGTAAGATCTGGCAAACACCAGAGCTCTGGTGGGTATTCTGTTCTCAGTTTTCAACTATGATGTTTAGCATTTATCAATAAAAAAGATGATTGATTGATTAATAAATTGATTTATTTATTGATTGATGGATGGATGGATTGATGGATTAATGCACTGACTGACTGATTGATTGACTGACTGATTGATTAACTGATTGACTGAATGACAACTGACTGACTGATTGATTGATTGACTGATTGACTGATTGATTGACTGACTGACTGACTGATTGATTGATTGATTGATTGATTGACTGACTGATTGATCGATCGATCGATTGATTGAATAATTCAATAGATCTCAAGGTCTTACAGGCTTCTCTTACAACATTATTGTCCATTGGCTGCTTCATCAGGAAAGTCATTTCTTTGTTGCCCAACCCAGGTCAGATGTTCGGAAACCACAGCCGCGTCAAACTAAGTTGAACTAAGGATCAGGTTAGTCTAAATATTAGGGGG